CCGGATCCGATCCGCCGGCCGAGGGGGTCCGGGACGGCGAGGGTGAGGGTGGATGGGGAGATCCGACCCATGCGCTTGGCGCGGTCGAGTTGGGAATTGTACAATTGAGCTTGTTCGGGGCTAGCGGCAGTGAGGACGATGGCGTCCCACGTTGGAACCCTGCGAGGGTCTCGCACCGACAACCTCAGATGGTACCATGATTTGCGCAGAAGGGAAGACAGGTCCTCTTTCTGTTTCACCCTCCACCGCCTCTTTCCCCTCTCCCTCTCCATTCCCACAACACAGAGTGTGACTGATCAGTGATGAGTGATGAGTGTGAATGAATGTGTTGACTACATTTTCCTGAGAAAATACCACCAAGAGATGACGATGAAAAATAAATCACATTAAATTACATTCACCTCACACATATGTTTTTTTTCTTCTATGTCGGTGTAATTTACTCTGGTCAAGACCAAAGTGACTGCAGTATAAAATTGAGAGAAAACTCGAAAACAAAAAATGATTAAAGGCTGGCGTCGCCCGGACTCGAACCGGAGACCTTCAGTGTGTTAGACTGACGTGATAACCAACTACACCACGACACCTTGTTGCTTATCATTCTTGTTTAAGTTATAAAATTTTAGCGTGGCAATGGGAGACGGGATCCAAGGTGTCAACACTGACAGTTCAGCCATTTCACACATTAACACTTTAGACAAAATATTATTTTGTCAAAACACTTCATCCGTCCGATCAAAACTCTATATGGATGGCCTTTTCTGAGATACCTAGTTGCTTTTAAAATTATTGACTTTTTATAAATTTATACAAAAAAATTTAACATGCTTTATTTTTTTTAGGAAACTTTCTAAAAGTGTTTCCATGAATTAACACAATTTTTTTTAAATATATATATATATATTGCTTTTTAGAATATATTTTGTCATCATTTATACATTTTTTTTTTTACTTTTTAGAAGTTTTCTTACGCATTAATACATAATTTTTTGGTATGTTTTATTCTCCCTCATATTTTCTGGAAATTTTTTTAAAATATTACTCATTCTTAAATTATTCCAATTGTATATTTAATTGTGAAATTCCTAAGTTATGATTATATATATTTTGTTAGTATAAATAATATTAATTAATTTCTTTAAATTATCTTCAATTACATAATTTTATGCATGTACAAATTTTTCTATATATTCGTGAACATAATAGTAGTGAGATCACAAATTTAGTTGAAGTATTAATTACTTAGGTTTTTATATAAAAAAATATATATTAATACGTGTGATTTTGATTAGTTTGCGTACATTTTTTTCTTTCTTTTTTATAGTTTATTTAAAAAAAATTCAAAATATGAAATTATTTTTTCCTTTTTCAATTGAGTTTCGACTATTGAAATTTTTTTAAATAAAAAAATAAAAATGTATTAAAAAATAATTTAATTTAAATGCATGAAATGTTTATAAAATATTATTTACAACACTTGAAAATATTCATTTAAATAATTTTTTCAATATTAAAATCTCTTAACGTCATTAACATCAACTATATATTAAAATAGTATTTTTTTTCGACAAGAATTATAACGATAAAAAAAATTAAAACTAGTGATTGAATGCACTATAATAGAGTAAAAATTTGAAATTGTTTGACTATAAAACTTTAATTGACATTTTAGTAGTTCAAATGGTTAAAAATAATAAAATAAAAATTAATAAATATATTAGAGCCTTTAATATAAAATTTGTCAAAATTCTCAAAATTTATAAAGGCAACTCTTAACTTTAGTATTTACTTTCTCTTAAGCCAACTAAAGTTCAACGAAATCATGCACGCACCCAAAAAAAAACACACAAATTTAGAAGTTTGTAAGAAATTATTAGAATAATTTATAAGTTTAATAACTATATATATATATATATATATATTATATGTATAATT